TATAAATAATATAAATTAATATAATGAATTTTTAAAATAATGTTAGGTACTTAATGTTTTTGATACTAATTAGAGAATTTGACTCAGTCATAGATGGTGTAAACAATAAGTTGTGTAGTTGCTTTGTTCCTATTAAACAATTCAAATTCATAACTCTGAAATTTTACAGCTGTTAATGGAATCATGTTTTTCTGGAAGCTATAACACTACCAGCCAGATGGAGATTCATTAAACTAAATTTTAGGACTGTACATTAGGAAAAAAAACAGAAAAAGTTGTGTAGCCACTACTAAAGAAGAACAAGAATAAATCCATGAGTAGAGTTAAAAAGATCCAGTATTTATCCTAGGCAGGAAGCAATGTACCATATGTTTACATTTATGCCACCCTATTACATAAATGTGGTAGAAACAAAGGTTTTAAAAAATTAAAAACTGGTTAGAAAAGTTGTTATTAGTTCTGATTAACTGTAACTGTTCTAAAACTCAAGAAAAAAGTAAAAAAATCTGCTCCAGAATGTCGTAAGGCAATAATATTTTTAAAAATTCTTCTTTTATAAAAGACAATGAAATTTAAACCGTGTACAGTAATCAACCAACTCTTTTTTTTTTTTTGAAGCTGTTTGTATTCAAATACACAAATAATAAAAAGTTTAGTCATTAAAAAATACTGGTATTTCATGAAACAAAAATTAAAGATTTTTTTTTTGAAATATTTGGTCTTCATTTTTTTTTTTAAATTTCAATATCTTCGCTTCCAACAAGGCTGCCAACAGCCACTATTAGAGTTAAGAGTTACTAGAACAGTTAAGATGGAGTTTATAGATCGAGATAACGATTGACAGACGACTCAAAGGATTGCAAATTTTATTAATTAGGAAAGCAAGATAAAGGAAGCAAACTCCTGATGTTTGAGGGAAAAACTAGACGAATAAGAGTGTTTAGAACAGTTAGGGGTAGTCACAGAAAAAGGATGAGACTTAAGTAAATGACTAGTAACACAAGAATAAATTTTAGTAGTTGGCACAAAAGACGCTATCTCTTTAGAGCAGTACCGAGTATAGTATTTGTAGAAAAAAGAAAGAGAAGCAACATTAAGATAATGTGATAATAGTTGGAGGTTGGTTGCAAGAGCAGGTCTAACTATATATTGAAGTTTTATAATATTCAAATATTTATAATATTTACATCAATATATGTTTAATTATAAAATATCGATATATATTTTATAATATTTAAATATATTAAAATATATCTTTTTTCAGTAGTCTTACTAGTTTCCCATTAATTTTGTTTTTAATTTATTTTTAACATGTCGCCATTTACACATATTATTATTAAACGTAATCATTTTTTTCACTTATTTTTAATAATTTGTTTTTAAATTTCTTCATATATTCTTAGTTTAAAAATATGTGAAGCATAAATTATCTTAAATTAGATATGGTATATTTTACTTTAACTGAGTTTAAATTAAATCTTTTTCATCTCTTCTTTACTGATTTTGATTCTAGAATGCAGTTCAAGAGTACTTTGACTCAACTACAGTGCAATTCTATGGTGTTTTTGCAGCTGTGATTTTATTTGCTTATAAATTATTTTTTCGAAGATGATACTGATGTTCTGTAATTAGTAGCAATCAGATAATTTTCTTCTCTGGAATTGAGATTCAGGAGAATTTAAACTACAAATGGTTGAATTTTTTTTGACTTTTGTTTTTGTGGCTTTTTTAAACAAAAAATCAGTCTACGTGAAATTTTGCAGATATTTTTAGGTTTTTTGATTTTAGTTTTTAAAAATATAAAATCTTTTTATAAATGATTTTAAGTTTTGTTGTGTTAACTTTGTATATTTATATATTAAACTTTATTTTTATAGAGAAAATTTGTGAAAATATTAAATTTATTTTCCAATTGTATGCATTTTTAACTTGAAAATACTTTTACAGGTGTGTTAAATAATTTTATTAATTTTTAGTAAAACATTTTTCAGTAAGATAAAAAATGAAAAATTAATTTTTTTGAATTTAATGTTGATATTTTTGAATGGTTAAATTTTTTTATATAAATGACAAATAATTATTTGTTTAAAGGGTAATGTTTAAGGTTTATATATATATATATATATATATATATATATATATATATATATATATATATATATATATATATATATATATATATATATATATATATATATATATATATATATATATATATATATATATTTATAAATATATAAATATATATAAATATATATATATATATATATATATATATATATATATATATATATATATATATATATATATATATATTCACCTGTTTATTTAGTTAAAGCCTAAATACGTATAATATTATATAGAACTTGATTCTTTATTGTTGAAAGATTCATATTTCTTTTGTAAATTAGTAAAATGTAAGAAAAATATTTTTTTTTCAGTTTTTAGCAAACTTAATAAAACTATAAACATTATAAAATACACAAATTAATGGATTTATTTTTTAAGAGTATTTATAAAAAAGAGGGTTCTCTATCGCCTATTAATAATATATTGCATTTGCCTCAGTCTTTTATTTGAAATCATGTATTAGTTAGTAGTTTTTTATGCATAAAAAAACATTAAACAGTTTGTTTTTACTAACTTTAGCATTTAAATTGATAATAGGTTAAAAATATATATTTTTTCCTTGTTTTTAGAGGGGATTACCACAGTTCAGAACAAGTTTTAAGAGTAAATATTAAAGCCACAAATTGCTAACGGAACTTTGGTGTTCCGTTAATTCGAATTTATTATTTTCAAAACATTTCTGATCAAGTCAACAAAGCCACACAAATAATAGGTTTAATAAAAGAAAAATTTTAATCTTATCCAGGTTTATTATCCTTTAAGTTATTATCCGACAAATAAAATAATTGATATTGATAGCCAATTTAATACACGTGATCATGTATTCAAACTAAAAATACATTCATGCCGTTTAAATTTACGTACGAAACTTTTTCTCTAAGAACAATTATCTCTCTCTTCCTAATGAAATTGTAACTGCATCATTTCTAAAAAAGATACTTTTAGACTATCTCAAAAACGAATGGCTTCTCTATGACTGATTCACATTTCTTTTTTATTAGTTATTAACTACTGTGCCATTGTTAAAATAATATGTAACGAGGTTGACAGGCGATTTATGCCTATACAATCTATTGTAAAACTCAATGATCAATAAATGAATATAACTGTACTTATATTACAATTAATAATAAGATTAGTGCTTGTCTAAAGAAAATCAAATTTATTGCGTTATTAAAAAAAAATGGATATTACAATAACAAATATTAAACGACTTAAAGTAACCGTTTAAGAGAAAAAGTTTCGTATGACTGTCATATCTTTAGATTTGTTTACTAATTTTTTAATCTTAATAGTTCTAAGAATTTAACATACTATCTGTTAATCAATATTTTACAATGTTCTATCTTTTCATTTTTTAGTAGATGTTTTATTAAAGCATGATTTTACGTTTTTATTATTGTAATTGACCATCTAAAAAAAAAAATTATTTGACCGTCTTTTGCTTTAGTACTTGACCATATGTTCAATGAGTGAAAAATGAAAACCGTGATTTTTTTAATTTTATTTCACTAAACATAACATTGCAATGATATTGAATATAATTTAACGATGCAATGTTTTAATAAAATTGAAATAATGAATAAGGGTTAATAATTCTGGTATAAAGTATGACCCTCCTCGAGAACACAAATTTGAATAGCGGATTTTCCTTTGTATTTGTTCAAGCTTATTTCCTTATTTGGTCACCGATTAGAAGAAATACCACCATTAATATTTGTGGCTTTTTCGTAGCCATCGACCACAACATACACTTTTTTTTCCCTGATAATGTTTCCTTTCACACTTTACAACTACAAAGTTAGTTTTCGTGTGAATAGCCAAATGGCAGGAGAGTAGTTTCTCACTGTTTTTAAAACCATTCTACAAGAGTAGGGTTTAATTTAACAATTTTTCTTTTAAATAGTCAACAACTGTAACATAGTCGATTACTGGTCTGTTACCTTTTAACGACAAATAACAAAAAAATATATATATATTCTCAAAGTAACTGACAAACTTTTAAAAAGCAGCATTTACAAATATTATTGGCTCAAAACTGGAAATTATCACGGATAGACTTGATAAACTCGAAAGCGAAATCAATATCAAATCAAAAACCTCAGCTTTAGAAAAAAACTTAAGCGATATCAAAGAAACTATTAACTTCCAAGTGGATATCTTTACAAGTAGCAATATCAAAAAAAACTATAAACTTTTTAGTTTTTTAAATATTCGATGTAGGGGGACGTCACTTAATCTCGTCAAAAATCAAACATCAGTTGACATTTATATTTATTTCTCATCACTTTAAAATAAAACATATTCTTCTAAAGATACCAAAACAAAGCGTAAGAACGTTGCTTTACTCTAATATAAAAATAAAATATATTCCTGCATTAATTAAGAAGATTAAACCTTTTATTTGTGTCACTTTATTTGGTCCACGTGTTACTTTATTTCGTCTAATTTTTTATAAGTTATAAAGATATCAATCGTGTTGTTTGTGTATGAGATGTAAAAAAGAAAATTTATTTTCTAGAAGTTATTTAAAAATAAAAAATAAACAACAAATAATTGATAACTTAGGGCATCTTTTGTCCTAAAATATCAATTTAAGACAAAAGATGTCCTAAATTGATAAATTAGGACAAAAGTTTAGTTTCTTTATGGACGCTTAGTAGGTAATATTTTTGTTGAATTTGTTTTGTTTTTCCAAATCAACGCTATATGCTCTTTTACAGCTTTCTTGTCTTTCGCGCAGCCCAGGTATTGACACATACCTGCATGTATATTAATATCATGCAAGTATTAATAGCATTGAGCCCCCGTAGCGCAGTAGTTAGTGCGCTTGCTTTAGAAACCGTTAAAAAATTAAAAAATTCATTTTTTAGCAACTGGTTCGTTGTTCTTAACGTTTTCAGAAAACTTATGGCTTCTTTTTTTTGATGGGGTTTTTAAGGGCATAAGAAATGAACAATTTTCTTTTTGTGTAGCCCTTTTCCCCCCCGTTGTTTGCTTTACGACGCTTCACTGCCTCAGGCTGGACACAAATTTTATTTTTTTGGAATTTTTTCAAGGACGCGAATACAGAGTTTTTCTTCCGACTAAATTGCTTCACACCGAATGTGTGTAAATTTGTAGCAAGTAAACTTGAACTCATTTTCTCTCCTCTTTCATTAAATTTTTTAATGCCAAGTAAAAGTGATTTGTCTCCAATCGTTATTTTTGAACGTAGAGTTTCAAATGAACTTGATAGAGCTTGGAGAGCCTCCTTCCTTAATGCATCATCCTTTTCACAAATGGTAGTAGCTTCACCACTGTTAGCGACAATACTGCTGCTTTTATTTAACTCTATAATTAAATTTAGTTCAAAATTATTTTCGCATATATTGTTATTAGTGTGGAGTCCTTCATAAAACTCTCGAGGCAAACTTTTACCTAATGCAATTTCAGCAAGATATTTTCTTTGGTCAATGTTAAATATCGGCATAAAGTTCAAACTGTTTGCAATGCCATTAGACCAAAGCACAAACTGATGTTTACACGGAGCGCCATTTTTCCCGACGTGACATTCGCATATTCCAATATTCATATCAACCGTATAATTTTTTTTTCCAGACGCACTAAAAACAACAAATATGTTGCAATCGGCATTTTGTGTATCACGTAGCATTGTACTAATTTGCTCAGCTGATGGCTTTACAAATCCAATACCTACTTTGTTTTTTATGAGTTTACCAAAGTATCGAGGAGAATTGTAACTATCAAAAGATGCACTAGCTACAGATAACAATTTGTTTTTATAATATTGATCTAACTCGACGGTAAAACTGTCAAATAGTGCGTTAATATTATATGCTCTCACTCTTTGCAAAATTAAATCTTTCATGATTAAAAATTGAGCTTCGATGTAATTGTTAGTGTTGTTACCACGTGTTCGTAAAGTCGAGCGAAATGCTAATGCCCAACATTTTTTCATTTCATAAATGTTTTTTAAATAAAATATTAGGTTAGGGTATTTTCTAACGATAGTGTCACATAGCAATTGCGAAAAAGTAACCTCAAATTTCTCAATTGTTTCAGAGTAAACGATGTTTTTAAAATTTGACATAATAACTGGTCGATCCACTTTTTCAATTTGGTGTTTAATATCAAAAAGCCATCGCCAAACTTGTTGCAAAAGATGAAAAGTACATAGTAATAACAATGAGGAAGGCCAAACGTTTAATAATGAATCTCTTAACTCTGAATGTGAACTAAGATCTGTGAGCATAAGATCAGGACCAGTTTGATTTCCTTTATTAAAAAAAGCATTTTCAGGTAATAAAATTTTGTATGCTTCAAAAGCCTTTATTAAGGTGTCTGTTTTTTCGTCGCTGCAAATTATTAAACCCAAAGGAAGAGCACCAGCAACACTATGAGTACAAAGGAGAAAAACCCTAAGGTTGTTTGCATCCATATTTGAAAAAGAGTCAACAAAGACTATTTCTGAAGAATGACTTTCCTATAATTAGCATTCAAAATATAAAAACATAATTAAAGGACTTAAAAAATAAAAACAGTGTTTAATGAAAAAGAAAGTACTCGCCATGGTATGAACTCTTTTCATTAAGGGCGTTACTATAACTAAGATTAACGGTGTTGTCGTCAAATCATTTTCTTCGTATCGTTGGAAATGCACAGCGCTATCGGGAAATTTATCAATATAAAATGCTTTTTTTTCTTCTAAATGCTCGACTATTTCTTTCCCGTTTTTAGATCAATATTTTTCTCTATAGTAAGAGTTATATAACCTGTTAAAATCAGGTCGTCTCGGACATATTGAACGATCAGACCTTAACCGATGATATTCAAGCTCATCTTTGCATTCAAACAGTAGATTTTGATTGTATTCTTTATAAGCAAATCCTTATAAAATGAAATTGAACACATAGGAACCCATTTTGTTTTTAAAAATCAATAAAAATAACATGCATAAAACAAAATAATTAACATGCATAAAACAAAATAATTTACATTCCATGAAGTAGTGAAAACCTACCTGGTGTGAAACCTTTATCAAAAAGTGTTAAAACCTTTTCTGCTGTTTCAGGTAATATATCTTTAAAACTATTCACTTGTAATGAGTTTAATGAGTGATTGTGGCAGTATTCAAGAATCTTTTTTATTTTAATTGTCATGGAATAAGGGCGACCTGTGTTTTTAATTCTTCTTGAAGGATTATCTTTTAAAATAGAGGAAGCATTAGAAGTCGGATTATATCTGGTCTTATGATGGCAGCGATACCTTTTATAAAAACTGAATGAGCTTTTAATTCCAAGGTTCCTATGAGAACAATCAATAAATTATTGCATATGAAAGATTCACATAAAATATTTGTGATAACTTATCACTGTAGTTATATGTCAAAATAGTTAGTTATCGACATTATTTCCAACAAATCTTAAACTACAAAATTTTTGTATTATTTAAAACCTCAATACCTTGATGTTGCAACCTTTAAGACTTCTTGATTTCTTTCACAGTAATCATTTAAAAATCTTTCAACTTCTTTTTCATTTGTAAGTAATGCAGAAATATCAGCCTTAAAACATCGAGTTGTCCCCTCAACACTATCGATTTTAACATTAGCCAATACAAACAACTCTGACGCGGTTTCTAAAAGTTCACTAGTGTTTTTTAGACCATTAAATTTCAAATCTGATACAAGTGATGCAATTAAAAGTGATTCACTTATGTCAACGTTTTCGCTAGTATGACCTATACTTGCTAAACCTTCTTCTATTTGAATAAATTTTTCTCCTTCGTATAATTTATTTTTCAAGGTACTAATACTAATTGCACTATGAAAAATCAAAGATAAAGTTAGCTTCTGCTCAATGAACATGGTTAAATTACAAAATAAGGTCCCAGGCCCAGCTTTGGTAGAAGCCACGTTATTTTAAAGAGAACATTTTAAAGCTGTTACACTCTGAAAAAAAAACAACAAAAAAAGCCTAAGGCCAAAAGGCTTTCAATCGCCCAATGAATACCTAAGTTAAAATATTGAATGCTCAGCTTAATGCTCAATTATTGACCAAATAAAAAGTCTATAAAGAAAATTAAACGCCTTCTCATAACTATTTTAGTTCTGTAACTTAAATTCTATTGCCAAAAGCAACATTATGTAGTATTTTCTGTGGTTACTTAAGCCAAAATACCCACAAACAATATATAACATAAGATTTGTGACAATTACTGAACAATATCATAAACAATGCAAAACTACAAACTAATTTATTTATTTTAAAAATTTTATAGTTACAAATTAACTAATCAAAAAAAATTTAATGACAGAAATTTATTTTTTATAACCATTTTTTTTTGCCTCTTTTTAGTGTGACATTTGTATCATTTACATAACATTTCCAACACAGAAATATTTTCTGTGGCATTGGAATCATACCTATTACAAATAAAACAAAATTTCGTAAGGAATATGAAGAATAGTCAACATAGTCATATTATAAGACTAGTTATAAGATCTAGTCGACAAATAACTTCACCAGCGACATATTTTTTGTTTTTCATCCCAAAGTTTCGACAGCTCTACAAACAAAAGAAAATAAAAATTACTAAATAATCAGAAATCAATAAGCTTTCTCTCTCTCTCTTTATATTTATATATATATATATATATATATATATATATATATATATATATATATATATATATATATATATATATATATATATATATATATATATATATATATATATATATATATATATATAATATAAATATATATAAATATAAAAATATAACATATATAAATATAATATAAATAAATATGTAAATATGTATATATACATATTTATAAATATATACAGGAGCGGATCCAGCATTTTTTGGTGTTTTTGATAACTAACTTCCTGAAATGGAGCAAACACGAAACATTTGAATGTTTATATTTATGTCAAATAAGGATGTTTTGCAAAAAATTGTGATGATTGGAGCCTGGGAACAAAAAAGTCCTAAAATTTTTGCCACAACTACCCCAAATCTGAGAGCAACAAGTTGAGAAAATATTTTTTTTACTATTTTTAACTTAAGCTATATTCATCGATAGATTTAACATTCAACCTTTTAACATTCAAAAGTTATGACCGTATAAAATTTGTAACCCCCGAAAATTGAGAATTTAAACTTTGTATGGTCATAATTTTTGAACGCATAGAGATTTTACTATGAAATTTAAAGTTTATTAATAAATATAACTTTGGTTAAGAATAGTAAATTAAAAAAAAAAAAATTTCTCAACTTATTGCTCTCACATTTGGGGGAGTTGTGGCCAAAATTTTAGGTTTTTTTTGCTCTAATCGTCGCAATTTTTAGCAAAACATATATTTTTGGCATAAGTATAAACATATAAATATTTGAAGTTTCTTCCATGTCAGGAAGTAAGTTATTTCGAGTAACAATTAAAACTTGATCCGCCCCTGATATATATAAACATAAATATGAGTGTATTTATATATATGTATACAGGCCTCGGCCGGAAGCGAGCCAGCTCTCGCCCACACTCTCCTGAAACGGTTTACAAGAGCTATTTACGGCACGACTGAAAACAAATGTACTAGGTAAATTATTTTTATTATTATATATCATAGTATATTAAAATACATTATAAAACTATATTTCAAAACTTACAAAGTTCAATAATTTACTAAATAAAAAATAACATAAAAAGTTTGAAGAAAAATGCTTTTTCAGCAGCTTTTATAACTTTATTTGACTGATTTCTTTTTTTCCAAAATTTCAAGATTTATTTGTAGTTTGTGAAGATTGGCATACAGTTCGATATAAATTTACTTTGAGTAGTGCTTGTTGCAGTTTTTGATTACCTTCATCAATAGCAGTTTCTGCAACATCGATGCCAGCTTTGCATATCCTTGATGTAATAGAATTTAAATAAAATATTTTGTTCAATAAAATTCCTATTAGTTATGTTTTATTTAATGACAAAGTTCAAACAATAAAATAAATAAAATATACTAATTTAATTAAAACAATTATGAACAATATACCTTATATCTGTTTTGATAAGTTCTAGATCTGTTTTTTGCTGTTGAAAAGATTTTGCCAGCAAGTCTGCTTGGTTTACCTTTAATGATTCAACTTTTCCTAAGCTAGTTTGCTCAGCCAAATAAACTTTATATCTTTGATGAGACTCTTTACAACTTTTAATTAAGTTATTTATTATTGGAAAATTCATAACTCAACCTACTTGATGAGGTTCATCTTAACTAAAAAAATTTTCATCTACTGAACTAGGTATAGTAGCTCCATGCAGCAGCAATTTCACTTTTGTTTCTAATTCAATTATACAGAATAATTGAATTAGGAACAAAATAATACAGAAATTAAATCTTTAAAATTTCATACTGTGACTTGATCATTTTTTAACTTTTTGGAAAGAATAAATTTTTGAAGTAAAGAGTTTAGTAGTTTACACATCGCAGGATAAAGCATGCAAATCATCAGAGATTCTGCTTGAAACTGTGCTAAAAATGTTTCAAAATCTTGTGCTGAAAAAGCACAAAAGCCTAAACATCCTTGAGTCTGAACATCATTGCCCAGAGCTTAACAAATTCGTTTGTATGTATCTGTTTTGAACAAAGCATTCAAGTTTTTTTTGTTTTGGAAGAAGTGTTAAAAAATAATCTTTAAAGTTCACCCATTGTTCCAAAATCCTTACAGCAAAATATTTCATAGAAAGCCATCATGTTTCTACATGCTTTTCGGCAAACTCAGCAACCAAATTAGTTACATCAACTAAATTAGCATAATCTTCACGCCTGGCACAAGACAACCTAAAAAAAAAAGTGAATCATAATAAAAATATTGTCAGACTTTTTCTCTAAATCCAGTGATAACTTCATTTCAAAGGCCTTGTTAAGATTTGGCCCATCCATCCCAACATGTAAAAGATATGCAGAATCCAACTCCAGATTAGTTTCAAATTTAAAATAATGGTCTACTAGTTGGTTGTGGTCACAATGACCAATAAAAAGAGAACCACAATATGTCGTTACAAACTCTCCTTTTTTTCTGACCAATACTGAAGATACCCATCATACCGTTTTTTTACTTGCTTAGCTGTTGTCTCATCAAACTTAAGTGAATGGTATTTTTTTAATTGAATGGTATATTTAATTTTTGATTCACCTTGCTTATAACCCTTTACCACAACAGAATCAGGAAACATAGAGCTAAATCTTACGTTGTCATTTTCAGTTGACTTGAAAATATAATTACAATTGACAACATATAAAGCTTGCATAATTTCTGCATGAGAAATCTGATCATCTATATGGACATTCGAACATCCAACATTTGAAAGTGTGACAGATGAATTTTGATGTATGTACTGCTTTTGGTTGTTTGATATTTTACAAAGATCTTTACCAACATGATTATTGCCCACTAACATGCTTTACAAGTTGACCAACGCCACTGGCAGATACTGAAAGATTACTTACAACAAATGCAATGCACTAAACTTAAATTGTTGTTTACATCTTTGACCTACTTGAATCTACTTTCCCAAGATTTTTGGTTAGAGGTCTTGCGCATTTATATATTTTAGTTTTTGTTAATCTAGAAAATCTAAATTAACCAAATTAAAATCAAACAAAAAGAAGTTTTAAATTAACCAAATAGTACAAATCATGATGATTAATAAATAAATAAAACACAAATAATATTAAAACATTTTTTATTAATTTTCTATATAAAAAATACACAGTAGTTACTTTAAAAAATACATGACCAGAATTTTAAAAACCTAATTTCAAAATTGATTATTTTTATTTTTGCATGCTTAACTAACAAAAATGCATGCTTTTACATGCTTTGCATACCTATGTAAGGAATTGCATGCTTTGCATGCAGTGGGAACCCTGTATATATGTATATATAAATACATGTGTGTGTGTATATATATATATATATATATGTGTGTGTGTGTGTGTATATATATATGCATACATATATGTGTGCATATATACACATATATGTGTATATATATATATATATATATATATATATACACATGTGTTTATATATGCGTGTTTATGTGTATATATGTGTGTGTGTGCGTGTATGTATGTATGCGTGTATATATATATATATATATATATATATATATATATATATATATATATATATATAGGCCTTGGCGGGAAACGAGAGCTATAGCTCTCCCCTACACTCCCCTAAAACGGTTTACGAGAGCCAGTGGCATGATGGCTGTAAAAGGCCTATGCGGGATTTTATAAAAAAAGCCTATATATGCGGGATTTTACCATGTACGATGGATGAAAAGGCCCATACATGCCTGGCATCTGTCATTTTGACCGAGCCATATTTTATGTGCATTTATTTTATAATTATTTTAGTTGTTTCAAAATTATTAATAAATTTTAGTAGTGAATATAAACTTCATTTTTTGAACTTTTTATTTTTATACAAAACAGAAAATGAAGCTACGTTAATAACATACATCATTTTTTTGAGCTGATTCATTTTTTAAAGGACATCAAAGCATTAAATTTTTTTCGAACCAAACAGACTAGTTTTTATCATTTATATTAGAACGTTGCAATTAATTATTGTTTTAAATTTATATTTCAGTATTAATTTTATTTTTTGTCTGATGGTTTTCATAAATATTAATCTAATATTTTAGCTTTTAAACCTTTTAAATTTGTTTATATATATATATATATATATATATATATATATATATATATATATATATATATATATATATATATATATGTATATATATATATATATACAAATATCTACTATAGCATACTTATATGTGCAATTGCTCACTTTTTTTGCTTATCTAAATCAATATAGATTTTTGAGAAAAAGAAGAAAACGAAGAATAATGAATGAAAAGGTTGCTGACCCATCCCAAACCCTTAGGCTGTGTAGCAGCACTACACTGCGAGGAGTGCTGCTACATAGCTACAGGCTATTTGTCAGTCAATGTATGTACTGAAGCCCCCGGCAGCAGGCTATTTTAGTATGACGTCATCATGCTCACCTAACTCAGCAGTATAAGATATATATGTATATGTATATATGACAATTCTGAAAAATGTATATTAAATTTTTTAATTTACTTTAAAAAGTTTCTTGTTATTTTAAAACACACCACACTTTTATCGGGCCATTTTTTTGAACTCTTTGAAAATAACTTATAAGACATTAATTAGGTACGTGCGTATCCAATGAGTTACGACACCGGTTATGTAATCAAAATCTTTGATTATTTAATCAAAGCATGCTTAGCATTTGAGTTGTAAGAATGTATTTTGTTGTGTTGTTTTTTAGGATTTTATATCAGCATAGACTTTTTTTGAAAAGTGGAAGAGTTAAACTTCATTTTTGGATAGTTTTTTTTTGAAGTTACAACTGCTTTTATTCAATTTACTTTTCTTAAAAACTTGGTTGTTGATCACACGTCAAATTAATATTGAAAGAATGTTGAGAACATTTTTGAAACTATTGAGAAAAATTTCAAAACTTATTTTCTACGTACATGCCAAACTTTATTGAAAAAGATTATGTAGCAGACACCTAATTTTTTGTAGCAGAATATGTACCTAAGTTAAAATATTGTAAATAAAGCGCTTCTAGCAACAAAGTTCCATAACAAAACTACTGTTAGCCGAAACTGACATTTTGGTCACAGTTTTTTAAGCAATCCTTGTAATCAAATTTTGTTACTTAAATGAACATATATTTTGTCATGAATTTTTCACTATTGTCATGCTGATTTTAGCCTCTTTTCAATGATATATAATAGTCAATAATAAAAATAGTTTTAAATTTTTACACACGTGGCTACATTAATAAAAAACAAACAACAGAGTTCTGTTGCACATAAACCTTGACTTCAAAAATACCTCTCTATCTTTTGATTTAAATGCTGTTGTGACATTTTCATGCATAGCTATGATAACTGTCACCAGCCAACCTTTACACCACACTACTTCTCGAGCTACTCTGTCAAAAGGTTTTTCTCCATCCATAAATCTTTTTTTTTTTTTTTTTAGTATTTCCTGAACTTGACTTACTATCTATTGTTCCTTTACCTGACCAAAAATTAAGCTGCATGTCATTTTGTTTGCAACGATATTTTCTAAAAAACCTTCATTACTTAATCAAGTAGTTTTATTCCTGAATATGAACCTTTTCTAGTGGCTCGACCTGCTTTATAAATCCTTACCATCCATTTTTTCTAACCCATCTGATAGGTAACTTTACTATATTTTATCGGGTATGCTGGTTTACTAAATTTGTTTACTACCTTCATAAGGTACATACATAAGGCTTATGTACATAAGCCTTATGTGTGTTATATATGTACATAAGCCTTATGTGAATTTTTTGCACATATGTGTAGGTACGTGGAAATATCCGTTTTACGGAACCGAATTATGTGCTAAAAAAATGTGCCACGCTTTTTAGATTTTTTTTTAACTAGCGTTGGGAAGACGTGTTTAGTTAAAAAACTTTTTAGAATTTGATATCAATATAGATTATTTTTAGAAACTAGAATAGTTAATCTTTATTACTGTGAGCTTCATTATTTTACTGGATGGCTTTTTTATTGAGTTTTTTGATGTCTAAAACTTTGTTGTACTTTGGGCATGAAATTAATGTCGAAGGTATGCTCTTTTTTTTTTCTATACTATTCTTTTTTTTAAGTTTTTCATTTATCTATGCACCTGGAAAATTTCATTGAAAAAAAAGTTGTAGCAGGGTGTCTATTTTTTGTCGCACTTTTCCTACCTAATTTTCAATTTTGCTGAAGTAGTCGCGGGAGACAGAGGGGTTAAATAAACATTGTTTACATTTGATTCTGATTAAATAAAATTTCAGTTTTTTTTTAGATTAAATAAAATGGAAAATAAAGATGTTGATAAAGGTTTACAATATTGTTTCCTATTTATTAAAATTTTAAAAAAGTTATTTGCCTTCAATGTAAAGTTATTGAAACTTATTAACTTTACATTGAAGGCAAATAATTTAATTTAACTGAATTTTAATGTTTCCTTACTTGAAAGTTGAATTTTTTAAAAATGTAACTGACATATTAGTAACATTATAACATATTTTATCTTACATTGTAATCATTAAAAAAATTGTTGTATCATGATGATCATGATACAACAATTAGTCTCTCCAATAACAATTGTAATAAACTACTACTAGTAGTAGTATATTACAATTGTTATTGGAGAGTCTTGTTGTATCATCATGATACAACAGTAAGTAGTATATTGTAATTGTTATTGGAGAAAAAAGTCTAGTTTTTACCTAGACTTTTTTATAAAAAGATGCACGATAATCATCTTTTTTTTTTAATGATTAACTGTTAATCTTTCAACTGTAACAAATAATATAAATTAAATATGGTCATATTTAACTAATATATGTTAGCAACCTTATTCAACTTTTATGTATAATAAATGTAACGTAAATAATCAAGAACATTTGTTATATTGTTTAGCTGCCCAAAGCAGTCCTACGGCAGCAGCCAACAATATCAGTTAGTTATTTTAAACATTAAATATTCATTAGTTTCTTTTAACTTAAGATCAGTAGATTTATTCAAATGTTTGTATTATTTTGCTAAAAAAAGTTTTTCATTTTTTGTTTAGATGATGCTTTTGAGAGGATAAGTCAGTTTTTTTTGGCGATTTATTATTTTAGTATTTAGTCTTTTGCTCTCAATATTAAATTATATATCTTTATTATGCTATGTGTTTTGTACCGATTTTTGTGCATCCACAAAGTTTTTTCACAGTTGTTTATTTTGTATATTCCTGATTATTTCTTGCTTTTTATTGAGTCATTGTTATTTTTTTTCTATAGACAATTTAGAACAAACTATTAGTAAGTAAAGTTTGAACTATTTTAGTTATTTAGTCATTTGAACTTTTTTTTTTTGTAATGTTAGTCTGATAATTTAATTTTATAATAAAGTTAGTATATTTAAATTGGCTTTTATGCGAATTCAGACAGCAGATTTGTAAGTTTAGTAAATTTTAACGATTTCAATAGTATAGTTTAATGATTCATGCTAAGATTATTATTTAATTGATACACGTTAAAGCTGTTTACTCTATTGACACACGCTAACTAAAGATGTAACGAAAAGTGTAACTTGAAATTAAGTTTATTTTAGTAAACTATTGTTATTACTATTGTTACTATTTTTTCCTTTTAATTCTTTAGCAACACTTACTTCATTAATTGGTAAGAGATTAAGGTGTATTTTTATGTTTAAGTATTGAGAAATATAGTTTGATTTTGTGTATTATGCAGTATTGTACTATTTAATATGTGCTATGTTATTGTATATTTAATATGTACTATGTATTTATATTTAACATGTAATATTTACATGTACCATTTAATTTTTTGTGTCATTGTATTATTTAATCTTTCATATCCTTGTCATCTGTTGCAGCTGGTAAGGTTTCTATATTATGATATTTCAAAATTATTTATATGGCAAAGTAATTGCAAGAGTAAGTTTTTTGTTCATTACATTTTTTTTTTTTTTTGAAGTATCATCTATAGCTGCTCTATCTGGTAAGGTTTTTTTATTTTAACTTTTTAATATATTTTTAATATTCAAATTTTAATAATAACTTCAAGATTGGTATGTGTATTATATGCTTCCATATTTTAAAGTTATTTAAAAATTGTATTTTTTTACTTTGTAACATGATTTAATAAAAAAAATCATGCAATATATTTTATACTAATCCAACTGGTAAGTTTATTTATTTTAACTTTGTAATAAGACTTTCATAGCAAGGTAATTATGAAAATAATAAATTATTATGATTTTTTTTTTTTAGTACCACCATTATCTGTTTTAGCTGGTAAGAATAAATATATTATAATTTTGCAGCATTTTTTAAAAGCAAAATAATTTAAAGATTTTTGTTTGTATTATGTTTTCAATTTTTTAGTTCCACCTTCCACTGATCTAACTGGTAAGGTTGTATATTTTTGCTTTGCAATATGATTTGCAATAAGATTGTGTAAAATGCTTTTTCATTTCTTTTTTAGTGCCATCATCATCTACTCCAACTGGTTAGTATATATGTTTTAACTCTGCAATATGATTTTAAATAGAATTTGTTATTAAGATTGTGTAAAATACTTTTTTATTTCTTTTTTAGTGGCATCTTCATCTGCTCCAACTGGTTAGTATATATGTTTTAACTCTGCAATATGATTATAAATAAAATTTATTTTTAAGATTGTTTAAAATGCTTTTTTATTTCTTTTTTAGTGCCATCATCATCTACTCCAACTGGTTAGTATATATGTTTTAACTCTGCAATATGATTTTAAATAGAATTTGTTATTAAGATTGTGTAAAATACTTTTTTATTTCTTTTTTAGTGGCATCTTCATCTGCTCCAACTGGTTAGTATATATGTTTTAACTCTGCAATATGATTATAAATAAAATTTATTTTTAAGATTGTGTAAAATGCTTTTTTATTTCTTTTTTAGTGCCATCATCATCTACTCCAACTGGTTAGTATATATGTTTTAACTCTGCAATATGATTTTAAATAAAATTTATTTTTAAGATTGTGTAAAATGCTTTTTTATTTCTTTTTTAGTGCCATCATCATCTACTCCAACTGGTTAGTATATATGTTTTAACTCTGCAATATGATTTTAAATAAAATTTATTTTTAAGATTGTGTATAATGCTTTTTTATTTCTTTTATAGTGCCATCATCATCTGCTCTAACTGGTTAGTATATATGTTTCAACTCTGCAATATGATTTTAAATAAAATTTATTTTTAAGATTGTGTTAAATGTTTCCTGATTTTTTTTTAGTGCCATCATCATCTACTCCAACTGGTTAGTATATATGATTCAACTCTGCAATATGATTTTAAATAAAACTTATTTTTAAGATTGTATATAATGCTTTCTTATTTCTTTTTTAGTGCCATCATCATCTACTCCAACTGGTTAGTGTATATGTTTCAACTCTGCAATATGAGTTTAAATAAAATTTATTTTTAAGATTATGTATAATGCTTTGTTATTTCTTTTTAAGTGACATCTTCATCTGTTCCAACTGGTAGGGTTTACTATGTAGTATGATTTTAAATTTTGAGTTTTATATTTTTTTAACTTGCCTCTCTGTTATCTATTTTTATTTTTTATTTTTTAGGTTGGGGGGGGGGTTACACGCTCCTTCCATACATCAATGCAAGTTGTGTATTTGAATTCCTGTAAAATATAGTTTTATTATGTATACTATTGATTTCAATGTAGTAAAGATAAAATTTTTAATGAAAACAAGTTATTTTTGATGCTAGGGTGTATCAAACCATCACCACCGCACCCACCTCCATCGTTAACATACGCCTCTCATATAATCGGTGGTTTAATATAATTTTATAACAACTTTTTTTGTATATTTAAATTACTTATGTCTTGAAAAAAAACTTTTTTTCTGAAAAAAATGTTCAGTTTCATTAGGGTAAGGTAGTGGTTTGGTTCCCCCTCTGTCCATCCGATACGCCCGGTGGTTAGAGTTCAACAAAAATTTGTAGCCCACTCTCACACATATCTTTTGACACCAAGATATTTGTATTTTGATAAGAATTAAGAAAGTTATGACAATTTAAGTGAGGAAAAATATAATTTTGACCACAGTTTCTTCAACAATTCCATATATCAAAAAATCGGTACTTAAACCGTCATAACTTTTGAACCAATTGTTCGATTTTTAAAATTTTTTCACCTTTAAAATACTGTATTGATTCTCTTTCCAATGATATATAACAGTAGAATATTTAAACAATTTGAAATTTTTACTCACGTACCTAATATGTGCGAAAAATTAATATATTAAAAATTAACTTAACACAAATTTTAATAAAATTCAATTTACATTTTTAATTCAAAAATAATTACTTTTTAATTTTTGAAAAGAATATACTTAAAATAAAGTTATTATTTTAAAACAAAAATACTTAACTTCTACATAGGAGCAATTGTGTTTATATCTTCGATAGCTTACATTATACTCAGAGCGAAAGCATGTTTAGCCAATATGGCGTTTATGATTACATTTTTGCCGTTTCTCGTTTAGTTTCAAAATTTACTTTTACCGAAAATGGGAGCCACCGTTTAAATTGGAGCAACCGTTTACGGAAAAAAAGATCGCGGCACTGCCGGCAATTACCGCTTGCCTTTTTTTTTACATAAATTTAATTTAATTTTGAAAATCTTTACATAAATTTTGATTTTACTTTATATTACATTATTTGTGTCTATTATTGTCAAATATTAGTATTTATAAGTACTAATATTGTTATAAACACCAACACAAAATGCGTTATATATATAACGCATTTTATGTTGGTGTTTATAACAATATTAGTATTTATAAATACTAATATTTGACAATAATAGACATAAATAATGTGATATAAAGTAAAATCACAATTTATGTAAAGAGAAAATTTATTTCCGAATAACTTTTACAAACCATGCTTTAGAAGAAAACGCTTTTACAAAATCGCTCTGTTTCCGAATGTACAGTTCTAATCGATAAGTTTTGTATGGTTTTATTCATGGTTTCGTAACGGAAACTTTAAATAATATAATATTCCATTTTTGTAATTGTGAAGCCATTAGTAAAAACTTAATATTCTATCACGTACTTTGGTAAATGGTAGTAGTTAATTTCACGGAATCAAAACTATTTTTGACACGTGATATTCTTAGTGTTTTCAGGAGTTTTAAACACGCAACAGAAACCACTTGTAATTTTTTAACGAGTTGTGCCGGCTGGGTATATATATGTATACGTATTAGTGCTCGCGAGATTGCTTGATGAATTAAAATAAATTAAAATGATTTAAATTAAAACAAAGCTGTATTTACATATATTTTTTATAAATAAAACTGCATATTTTTCACAACTATTAGTTTCATGCTAAATGCAATCATCAGGTGTAAAAAAGGTGTTTTTTACACCTGATGATTGCATTTAGCATGAAACTAATAGTTGTGAAAAATATGCAGTTTTATTTATAAATAATGTATATATATATATATATATATATATATATATATATATATATATATATATATATATATATATATATATATATATATATATATATGTATATATTTATAAATATATATATATTAAATATTTAAATGAAAAAAATACGACTTTTTTATGGGACTTCAAGTTTCATGCCATTCGGCAATCATTCAGCCATATATTTAAAATCATTAAAATAAAAACCGTTATAAAAAATACAAAATTGCGTTGCAACGAGATCAAACGTCAGTTTTCACGCCAAACGGGCATCCCGTTTGGCGTAAAAACTGACGTTTGATCTCGTTGCAACGCAATTTTGTATTTTTTATAACGGCTTTTATTTTAATGATTTTAAATATATGGCTGAATGATTGCCGAATGGCATGAAACTTGAAGTCCCATAAAAAAGTCGTATTTTTTTCATTTAAATATTTAATATATTTTGATCTATTTTATAAATATCGATCACTCTTAAACCGACAAAGAGCTGTATTAAATCCAACAGAATACAACACAACTCAATAATAATAATAATAATATATATATATATATATATATATATATATATATATATATATATATATATATATATATATATATATATATATATATATATATATATATATATATATATATATATATATATATATATATATAGATTTTTTGCAGTATTTAAGTCATTCATTTTTTTTGGATTGCAACCACAAACTGAGCAGCATTGCGATGATTTTGTTGCTGTGGATAGAGCTGTGGCAACTTTCCCATCCACCATTATAATTCAAATTTGTGCATAACTGTTAATTTGTCACACTTTGTAGTAAATAATTTTTCTATTGAGTTGTAAAGGAATTGTTCTTCTTCTTTTAATACATCTGATGTTTCTTTTTTATAGGAGAATCTTACTGGTCTGCAAAATAAAGTGGATGATTGATGAGGGTTGGACCAAATAATCTTCTTTTCGCCATTACAATATCCAAAACTGCAAAGGCACAAAGCAAGTGAGGAATAAGCTGGCTTCATTTGTAATATTTCTGTTTTCTTCTTCTGTTGTTATTTAAGTATAAAGGCTTTGGCCAGTTGATCCATCAAAGCCAACTTTGGACCTAAGGGTCATTCGTTGAAGATCTTCTAAGGAGTTAATAATTTCTGCCTGACATTCTATTAAACGTAGTGCTGTATGATTGACCAATGCTTGCATGTTGACCTCTGCAGAATATTCAGTGACAGTCCATAGGTTATTCTCTGGAAGACAAAGTACTTTTGCTTCCCGTACATTATTATAAGCTGGATATAAATGACAGCCTTTTCTTACAGCATTGTTCCTTAGGCGCTGATAATCAGACTTGCTTAGATTATTATTATCTTAGATGAGTGCTAAGGCTTCATTGGGAGAATTTGAACATGTTCATCAGTTTGAGTTTTTGATAAATTTCTAACTACCTTAGCATGCTTTCTCCTTCCTTGTTTCCAAAGTTTGCAACTGCTAGCAAACAACAGCTGGTTTGAAGAACTTGCCAATGATTCAAGTTTTGACACTTTCCTCTTTTTAGATTTATCAGATGATTTTTCAAATGATTTACAATGCCTGCCAAGAGATAATTTAGGTGTAGTTTCTGTATTGCATAAAGAAAAGGTTTGTTGGGGACTAATAAAGTCTTTGCTAAGCCAGGCTAAATTTTTATCCAAAAATATATGATTGTAACGGCCCATCGCTTTCTGTATTCAAAAGTAAATTTTGAAAATTGAACCTTACATTTAGAATTGCCAAGTTTTTTACTAATAAAATTAAAAACTACCAACTTATCTTTTTCATTTGATAATGATAATTTGTTTTCTCTTATAAATAAATGGATTTGATTTCTATTAATGCTTGACATAATAAAAATAGTCTAAAGTTAAAAATAAAACAATTTATCAATAGGTTTTCATTTTTTTTATGTAGAAATATTTTCTTTTAATTATTATAATATTAACTATAATTAAATAGTCTTATTTTTGAATCAAAATATTCATTATATTATAACATATTGTATTATTTTGTTCGCGATGTTATATTTTATATACAATATCAGGGGTGGATCCAGCATTTTTTGGTGTTTGAGATAGCTAACTTCCAGATATGTAGCTAACTCCAAACATTTATATGTTTATACTTATATCAAATAAGGATGGTTTGCAAAAAATTGCAATGATTGGAGCCTGGGAACAAAAAAGCCCCAAAATTTGAGACGTACCTGCTCCAAACCTGAAAGCAACAAATTATTAAAATATTTTTTGTACTATTCTCAACAAGACTTATTTATCAATAAATTTTAAATTTCATAGTAAAATATTTTAGCGCTCAAAAATTATGACAATATAAAAATTGTAACCCCCTCCAATTGAGGGGGATTCAAACTTTACATGGTCATAATTTTTGAACGCTGAAATATTTTACTATGAAATTTAAAATTTATTGATAAATATAAGTCTTGTTGAGAATAGTACAAAAAATATTTTATCAACTTGTTGCTCTCACGTTTGGGGCAGGTACATCTCAAATTTTGGGGCTTTTTTGTTCCCACGCTCCAATCATCGCAATTTTTTGCAAACCATCCTTATTTGATTAAAGTATAAACATATAAATATTTGCTCCATGTCTGGAAGTTATCTCAAACACCAAAAAATGCTGGATCCGTCCTTCAATATTTTTGCAAATCATTGCAAATAAAAATTAATTTAGCAAATATTAGCAGCTAAATTAAACATATTTTCATAATATGGATATAAAAGCTTCAAAATATGTATATAAAACAACAGGATACTACAAGATCTTCTATTTTTTGTATTTTTTCAACCAAAAAATACACTTCAAATATTCTTTTAGTGAAGTTTTTAAAATTATTATAACTTATTTGTTTTCTTACCTATTTTAATCTAACAACTCTTAAAATGTAGAAAATAGACAGTTCAACAATAAAATAATTTTCAATGCGCAATATTTAATACAGTGTTACATTATTACCATAGATTTTGTAAACAATATTTTTTGCTTTATAATATTTTTTTTCTAATTTACGTTTTCATATACTTTAACCACATAATTAGTCTATTCATTACATATTTAGATGTATATAAAAGGTTTTAAATTGTTTCATAATATCTATAAAAAGGTTTAAAACCATTACGACATCAAAATTCTGACTTTGATTTTTATACTTTTGTCCAGTCAGTGGGCCACTGTGCAACGTTGAAATAACGTTGAATAAGTGTTGTTTTTCAAATAGTTTAAATTCGTTGAAAAAGCAGCTAATGTCTAACGTTGATAAACCATTACTTTTGCGACGTTTTTTCAGTGATTATTTGCGTACTTATTTTCAACGTTTAATAAACGAATTTTTTTGAGAAGATAAGATACGTTTAAATTTATACGCTTATTCAACGTTGAAAATGTAACGTTTAAAAAGCGGTTTGTTTTTAACGTTGATATACTAAGAATATACTTCGAAACGTTTTTAAAGTGGCTTTTTGCGTAAGTTGACTCCACGTTTTATTTTGAGAGGCTAAATTACGTTACAATTTCAACGCTTATTCAACGTTTCAATTTACCGCGATTTAGTGTACAAAAACAGACATTGATTCAACGTTGAAAGCACGTTGTTTTTGTGACTGTAACGCTTTTTCTACGCTGCGACTGGTTTTCAACGTTGATTCAACGCTTACATGTTTGCTGGGTACTTATACTAAACTTTTATTTTATAAAACTTTATATAAAATTATAAATTTATATAAAACGTTTTCATATAGTAGGGATTTATAGAAAAAATGTTTGTGCACTATATTTGTTTATGCTTCAATAATTAAAAAAAATTAAATGTTTAAGCTTTTTGCAGTGGAAACTTTATAGAAACAATTTCTGTCAAATATTTTTTAAATTTAATCTCATTAGCAGAAGATACATTAACATTAAGTCAAAGATTACTAATAAAATTAATAAACTCAAAAACAAATATTTCGGATCACTGTTTTCTCTGCTTTATTCATTATCAAAAATCTTCCTAGAATACCGTCTACCGTTTGTTTATCCTGCACCTGTTTGTGCAACATATCCTGATTGTCTGATTTCGTATTTTGATTTGTAACCGCAAAACACTTTGGTAAAATAGTTAGCATTTTAAATATAAATTCAAAAATCAAAATTGGAATTTTACAGGACAACTTTACATATAGCGGATTTTCTGAATAGAATTTTTCGAAATTTCCTGTACCATCCATATTTATTTTTCACATTAAAAATAATCCCAACATCGCGACATAACATATACAGTAATTTTTAACAGCTCTGTTCCACCAATTTTCATTAGCAAATGTAACTAAATTAAGCTAAAATGCATCTAAAATAAAGAAATAAATATTTAGTTATTAAACCTCTTGATTATTGCAAAGATGAATACCAAAAGTTACACAATCATACAGGCGTTTACAAAATGAATTTAAAATGTTTATAAAACTTACAAAAAAGGTTCTTGCAGTAGAACTTTCATAACGAGAGACCAGCAACTCATATTTTTAACTGCATCAATGTTGCCATCAATAATTTCTAAAACAACGGAGTCCATTGATTTGTTGGGAATCAGGAACGTAGATTATCACGATAATAGCTTTTTAACTTTCATGAATTAAAATGGCGCACCCAACACTGGTTTATTATTTAGCTACCAGTCGTTTTGCTTTCAGTTGTTGAATCTTGAAAACGCATTTAAATCTGATTTAATTATTTAGCCATTAAGAACTAATTTTTTAATAAGTTTTTATTTTGTTTTAATTATGCCTATTTAAACCGCGTGACCTAAGCTGTTATGTGAGTGTTCTGACCAATGGCTATATTATAATATAATATGATATTAATATTATAACTATACCCGACGGGCATTTGTTTATAAAAGTTACGATCTAAATGTATTTTAAATGTCTTTTAAACGTCTTTTAAACATTAATGTTTAAAAGACGTTTAAAACACATTTAGAACGTAACTTTTAAAAACAAATGCCCGTCGGGTATTATTATTATTATAATATAATATTACTATATTATAATATAATCAACGTTTATTAAACGTCGATCAAACGTTTAGAATAACGACTTATATTAGTCAATATTGTAAACGTTTGATCGACGTTTAATAAACGTATATATTAAAAGATTTAAAGCGTAGATTTTGAGTCTATAAATGTTTACGTTTAATTAAAGTCAATTAAAGGTTTAAATATTGACTAATGTAAGTCGATATTCTAAACGTTAGATCGACATTTAGTAAATGTATATATAAAAAAGTTTGAAATATACATTTCAAATCAAGCGTCGATTTTTAGTCACTAAACGTTGTGCGGTAAATTGTTGTGCAACGTTGTGTTTCCATTATACTGAATTGCCGCTAAATTTTTTATATAATAACAAAAAAAAAATGGCCGCTACTAGAAATTATGCTACTCTAAACTATCGACTTTTTGTTATACTTTTAATTTTAAAACGCCGAAAAAAGATAAAAAAAGAAAACATCAGTTTTGGGTGAGAGAACTATTTAAAAAACGTGTTCAGCAAGGTGCGTTTAGTTCTTTGGTGAAAGAAATGAAGCTATTTGATAAAGAGTTTTTTTATCGATATTTAAGAATGTCTCCTGACAGACTTGAACATCTTTTGTCATTAATTGGATCTTCATTAACGAAAAAGTATTGTCCCAGTAGAGATTCTATATGTCCGTCGCAAAGATTAATTATAACAATTCGATACCTTGCTACAGGAGAATCACAACAAACTCAGTCATTTTATTTTCGAGTTGGCAGAGCTACAGTTTGCCGTATATTCAAAGAAACTTGTTGTGCAATATGGAAAGTTCTCAAGAAAGTCTTTCTACGAGCCCCAAATGACGTAAAAGAATGGCAAAATATTATTAAAGAGTTTGATCAAAATTGGAACTTTCCACAATGTATAGGAGCTATTGATGGAAAGCATGTACGCATTGAAGCACCTGCAAAATCTGGATCTTCTTTTTATAACTACAAAGGGTTTTACAGCATGGTTTTATTAGCAATTTGTGATGCTAAATATTGTTTCACAATGGTTGACATTGGGGCTTATGGAAGGGATAATACTGCCATTTTAAATGCGAGCACGTTTGGGAGGGCATTTAATAAGGGTTATTTTAATTTACCAAAATTTTTTGAATTTGATCCTAAAGTTTCACCGGTCCTTGTTAAAGATGACATATTTGCACTTAAACCATGGTTAATGAAATCGTACCCAGGTAAAAATCTTACTGTTCAGCAAAGAGTTTTTAACTATCACTTATCTAGAGCACGTAGAACAATCGAAAATAGTTTTGGAATTTTAGCAGCTAGATGGAGAATATACAGATCTCCAATTAAAGCAAAGCCATTGATAGTGGAACATATAATAAAGGCTACTGTTTGTCTTCACAACTACATTTTATTTGCGTTTAACAGATGGAGCGCATTATATTCCTACTGATTTTGTTGATAGTGAAAGTCATTCAGAAATTGTTATTCAAGGAGATTGGAGAAAATAATTACAAGATCAAGGGTGTTTGCTTGATTTCTCAAAATCAACAAGTAATAGATCTGTTTTTGATGCAATTGCAATAAGAAATACTTATAAAGATTATTTTAATTCATGTGAAGGAAGCCTTTCGTGGCAAATGGACTATGTTCAATAGTGTGGCCACAATCCAGTTAATAACTAAGATGTATGTAATAAACAAAACCTCCTAATAAAAGAAAATATGTTATATTTAACAAACCAATAATTTACATTTTTTTTTTATAGTTTAAAGTTATACTTCAACAGTTACCTAATAATTAATAAAAAATTAACATTTTATACCTCCATGATTTTCTAAAATAAGTTATAGTTTATCACATCGATAGACTTAACAAAATAGTAAGCTAAATTTAGTCTATTCCAATGATTAATCAAAAGTAACTTCACATCTAATTTTACTTAAAATGTTATGTTCCTTGCATCAATAGGTTAAAAAGAATAGTAAGCCAGAATGTGTCTTTTTAAACAAATTATCAACAGTTACTTCATAGTTTATTTACTTCTAAAGTACAGTTTTCCACATTGACCAATTAAGTAGAGTAATAGGCTAGATAGTTTCACCTCTGTCTGGAAACTCTAATTTAAGAAGTAAAGTTTGTATTTGAACTTTAGCCAAGGCTTTAGAATAGTTGTTTAATTGCTTAAGTTGCGGAACTAATGATTTCATAAATAAATAATCTTCATCCTGCTCTTCTAGAGTCGGATTTTCAATATTGGAGTTAATTTTTTCTAATGTTTTCACTAAGGTTCTATCAAGTAAATCATCAGAATCCAACTTTTTTCTTTTTTTTTTGTTATTAGCTTGAATTGTTGACTCACTTGACTCTCCTTGCACGCAAGTATTTATACAGCTGTTTTCTGTGGTCACATCTTCAGATATATGATCATTATTAAATGGATGATGAGTGTTTTCAACTTGCTCACATACCATGTCAATGTTTTCTTCCAAATTCGATGTTTCTAATCTGGAGTCAGAAGGTAAACAAATACTGGTTGTTGTTTCGCAATGTTCTATAAAAGTATTTAGCCAATCGAGCTGAAGAAACTGAGGTGGAACTGAGTTCCTTCTAGAACCTGATGGAATATTTTTTTTTGATTTCAGCCACCTTCCATAACTACTTCGAATGCTTTTATATTTCTCTTCCGCTTGATTAGGAGATAAGTTCTTTTTCCATTTATCTTTAAAATCTTTATTAAACTTGTCATACAATACTGGAAATTTTTGAACTTCATTCATAAAAGCTGCTTTAGATAGTTTTTCAAACACACATAACGGAGTTGTCGTCATGTTTTGTAAAAAATGAAGATGCTTTATTAACTTTACAGTTTATGTGCAGTTTCCAATAAAAAATTAACTGCGCGACCAAATAAACGGTTGCAGAAATAGAACTTTTTCAATACTCACAACCGGAGTTGTACAACATGAGTTTTGTTGTACAACCGACGTAAGGTTGTGCAACTTACGGTATAAAATGTTTCCATTATAAAACAAAGGTGTTGTACAACTGTTGTACGACATTTCTACAACTATTAGAAACCAAGTTTAAGTTTTAACATTGGCAAGTTTATTCCGTTGGGCCAACATTTAGCCAATGTTTTTTTTTTCGGCGTATTATTTTCAATTCTGCAAATCGGTTTTTTGCAAATGTCTTACTACGTTGGGCCAACATTTGGCCAATGTAGTTTAGGCTTAATATTTTGCTATAAAAATCAGTTCTTACATTTATGCCGTAGCCAATATTCGGCCAATGCACAGTGGGAACATTCCATTGATATAGGTAGCCAAAAATATAATCGTTGTATTTATGTGGATATTAAGCCTTAAATGGGTAAAATAGAGACTTGATAAAATGTTTTTAATTTTAATGTTTAACCAGCTAATAGGCGCAGCAAGGGGGGAGGGGAATCCACTTAAGCGCTGGGGCACTAGTTGGAATTTTTTATATTTAATACTTTTGGACATTGTTTAATTAATGGATAATTTTTCAATGACCAAATGTTCATACTTGATTCAAAAAATTGCGGTGATTCAAGCCCGGGATCAAAAATACCCAAAAAAGTTAGCTCCCCAAATATGAGGGCAATGAGTCTAAAAACAGATTTTTGATTCTATCTTAAACTAAACTCAAATTTATTGACAGGTTTTTGTTTTCATTGGATAATCTTTATAAGTCTGTTATTTTAATTTTCAATTAATAACAAATAATAATAAAACTAATAATAAAAAAACAAACATATAAATAAACTTTTGGGATGATCTTGTGTCCAAACTCTAATAATTTAAACTGAATCATTGCAATTTTTTAAATATTTTATTATATACTTAATAAATTTATATAGTAGACAAATAAATTTAAAGTTATACATTATACAGATGATACAGTTTAGAACTTTATTCTTCTACCTCTATATCTAATTCTAGATTTTCGTCAACGTTATCAACATTTAAATATAATTCACCTAAGTTATTAATTTCATCTAATTCCAATTCAGATGAATCTTTTTCTTTATCATCGCTATAAACTGCTAACAAACTTTTAACTTTTTTCGGTAGACACAATATTTTCTTACTTTTCAATCTTTTAGTTAATGAGATTGAACTAATTAGGGGATCAGATGTATGTATACCTAGAATGAAAATGTCAAGTAAGTTTGTTTCTCTACTTTTTTTTCTTGCATGATGTTCACGATCAAATTTATAAATTCTGTGTCGAGATTCAACTGCTTCCTCTCCCATTAAATCAAGTGAAACTGGTAAACTAATAATAATTTCCCTAGCATGAGCTTATACTTTTTGAATGGAAGCTGGGAACTTGAACCAATCATATATCTTTAACAACTTCTTATATGTATCATTGCAGTATTTATCAATTTTTTCCGGATCATTTGGGTCTTTGCAATTATTTGCAATTAAATTTAATGTAACCTGATAATTTCTTCATTCATTTCTAAAATTTTGCTGAGTAATAGAGGATCAGAAAAAGCTCATGTGCATAAATTTCCGGTATTACTCGTTCCACTAGCTGATCCACCAGCTTTTGGTACATCAACTCTCAAACCAAATTTTTCAAACATCCTATCACGTATAATTTTTTCTCTCAAAAAATATTGATCTTTTGAAAACCTTTTCTACTTTCCAAGTTTTTTTCAAGTCTATATGTAATATGAATAAACTCAAAAGACATTTGACCACTACACAAGCATGTAAAGGTCAAATGCCATAGCACAATGCCTGCCTATTTGTAACAAACCTTTTTTTAGATCGCTCATCATGTTAGGTGTGGCGTGACAAATCGGACAACATTGTGTTGAAGAAGTCTCAATGATGTAACTAAGATTTTTTCATCAATTGAAAGGATAAAACTATAGTTGATAAAAACATACTTATGTCCTGAAAGGTAAACTTTATCAGGATATAAATTAAGAGTTTCTTTTTCAATTTCTTCCTTCATTTTTAATACTACTTCTTTATTCTCATTTACATACTCCAGTATAATTGGTCTACAGAATCTAATACTTTGATACATTATGTTATTCCATAAAAGATTGTTTAAATCTGATTGTACATGCATTCGAAGAGGTGATGTAACTGTGACTAATAGATCCAAATCTTGAAGGTTATTTTGATTGGAATTTTTAAAACGCTAATAGTATTTTTAGTGACTTGATGTTTCGTCCATACCCTGACAACTAATTAGTATTAATTCATCAAAGTCTTTCTTTTTATCATCAAAACTTTTAAAATTTTCTTCTCCCGTAGTTTCACAAGCCTTTTGGATGTATGATCCATAAGATCCTGTAGCTTAACTTTGGCATTTATTTCAGTAACTTTAATGGATGTTTTAAGGCGTGAGCACTCGTTTTTTATTTCAAAAATTACTCGATAAGATGGAAACCTGCATGGTGCTTCTTTATGGGTATTTTCAGAAACACTTCCGAAGGTTTGTTATGCAAGAAATATACAAAAGCTTCTTCAGACGTCGTTTTCTCTCGCTGTTGTATTTATTTTGTATTCTCTGACTTGAATTCTAGCAATGTATTTAAACCTACTATTTACATTTTCAAAAGTATTTACCGAAACCTGAAGACATTGCACAATTTGTATTAAATTGATTTCTTCCATTATCTGAGTTCACAACAATAAACTTACAAAGTAAAAAGAAACTTTTTAACATCATTTAGAAATTCAGTGGTTTTGGTCGATTAGTGGGACATTAAAAATGCACTTTAGAATTATTTTTTCTTAAATTAGTTATGCATTTTAAAACCATAAACTCATAAAGTTAAAATAAAAAATTTTTCCTTTCAGTAACAACACGAAAACAGATTTGTTTTTGTCTTTCATGCTTTAAAGTAGTTTGTATGTTTTTTACTTTTTGTAATGAATGAAAAAAACTATTTTTATCGAAGTTTTTTATTTGTTTAAAAAAACATCAATTTTTTAAAGTTATTTAGCGCTCAAGATCGCGGATAATCGCAGCTACACTTTTCAGGGTAGTTAGTAGATACTATAGACTAAAAAATATCAAAATATGGAAAAGGTACAAATTGGAATAATTTTTTAATTCTTCATCAAAGATAAAATGTAGTACTTTTGTGATGAATTTTTTACTTTTAATGCTAAAAGTTTTACTACCTACTTTTTCAAGAAATTTTCTATTTTTTATTTTTAACAGTCAATACTATAATCTTTCCAATGATGTATATATTCTCAATTCTTCAATGATCTATATATTAATTACTAAAACCCAGCAATTTGAGAATTTTATCGAAAATTCATTAAAAAAACTAATTTCAAGAAGCCACTACAATTGAGCCTGCCACATTTAGAATTTCATAAATTGGAAAATTCTTAGTGAGGGTATTAGTAACTAAACCCACTATCAGACTTAATGATTGAACCAAGTCACTTTTCTGATTTTTGGCCATCTAATTTCCCACTGTGCAATGTAGTTGCGGATTAGTATATATTTTTAAATATGTTGCAAAACATTTTTAAAAATGGTATCGCTTGACAGAATAAAAAATGGTTTTGATATTTCCACTTTTTTAAATTATATATATAAAAAAAGAAGGTGTTGAAATTTGATGAATCTTTTAAGAATCTTAAAAAGTTCCTTATAAGAAATAAATTTCAAGAGATTTTCGTGACTTTTTTTTTTTAAATAATGAAATATTTGATAACATTTAAATAATACACTTAAAACATTTTTTACTACATTGTAGTAAAAAATGTTTGTAAATGATTGTAGTCTACAATCAACAACAAAAACAAATAACATTATATTCACCAGTAAATATTATACAAAGGTGTTAAACAACATACACCGTAATACCGATTGTAATACCGACTGGAAGGTTCACTCTCATATAACCTGGCTAAAACGAGGAGAGCGACCTTGTAAAAATACAAATTCATAAAGGACAAGGACAAGAAAATAAACAAGTTTCAAAAAATAAATACAAATAAAATATAAAAGAGTTAATGAAAACAAACCCAAAAAAAGCAAAAAATAGAATATATATATATATATATATATATATATATATATATATATATATATATATATATATATATATATATATATATATATATATATATATATATATATACATATATAGATATATCAATCTAAATTATTAATGTAATAATAAAGGCAATAATCAAATTATTTTTGTGTAAGATCTAAAAGTTATTTTTTTATACTTATTGCTGTATTGGCATTTCAAATGTTTGATTTATTCAATAATCTTTATTTATTCAAAATAAGTTTCAAATGTTCGATTTATTTAGGTTTTTATTAGATAATTTATTCCTAATAAAGAAGATATTTAACTTGTGTCTTCTTTATTAAATATATCAAACATTTGAAATGTCATACAGTATAAGTATTAAAAAAATATATTTTTTTCATAATTTATTTATAATAGTTTAGATTATATAGCTATTATAAGATATATTATTAAAGGTATCAATAATATATATGTGGTATTGATGTTGTTAGAAGCTGTTATTTTAAATTTTAAGTATGTATCTTTTGTTTGATTTTTTCTTTGTTTGATCGTGAAACCCCACTACTAACAATTTAAAACAGTGTACAAAAAGTGATGTTACTAGAATTTATATTCTACTTATGTAGAGCTTTCTAATATTGCCAGACATTTCATTTTAAGACCAATGACTAGTCTATAATAATTGATTGAATTATGAGATTAAATCAATAAATAATCATTACAAACAATTAAAATAAAAAAACTCAATTTAAACATAGTCACAAGAATAGATAG